GATTCCTCGCTCCTTATACGACTAAGTTTTTGTTTTTTGTTTTTTGTTTTAATGTATCGCGGACAACATATATACAGATGCTAATACAAGAAATCACATTATTTTTACCATTACTAACGAACCATGAAGTAATGGTATTTATCACCTATGTCCCTATCGCGATTGTTATAATGTCTATAAATATTAGCGCAACATTAGAATGAAATTGCATTAATGCTCTACGAAGTTCTCTCAATTATCAGATAATAGAAACAAAAACTTACGTGGGCGCACAAAAACATAGTCATAGTTTGCTTATCTTTCACGAGAAGCACTACTCATCCGTTGATTCCAAAAATCCGGACCTTGTGCATGTTTGGGAATTTGGCAACCTCCAAAATGGCCACTGCAATCGTGTTCAAGAACAGCATCGGATGTTGGTAATCGGTTGTGTGCGAGGCTATCAAGTACCTGCTCACATTCAGAAACCAGAACATATCAAGTGGTAAGAACTCATGTAGATTCTAGGAATCAGGAGCAGATTACTACAAGTGAACTTCAAATGTCAAAACATGTGTATGCTTCTTCACGACAATAACAAGTAATGCATCATGGGTTTTGCAGTAATCACATATGAGAATAGCCGTTAAAACTACATCGGTGCTAACCACTGCAGAAGGAGCAGACAGATATGCATCACACTAAGATGCCCTAGGAGTCAACTACTACAACCAACACAACATGGGTGCCGGTACGGGTGTGCATCTGAATCAGTTATAAGTGGCCAAACTCAAGATGACTCCCAAATTCTTTGCCGACAAAGAAGTAGGTGGTGGTCGTCGCAGCTGGCTCTCTGCAACTAGAGGAGAATAAGACATGAAGAAGAGAGGGAAGAGAAAAAGGGCAGTTCTATCTTTGCGCCACTGCCATTGTTGCTCTCTTGCCATTGCCATTGTTGCGCAGAATCCACTGCAGCTACATATGTGCAGAGAGAGAGAGAGAGAGAGAGAGAGAAGATGGGTTTGCAATGGGACTATGAGGAGAGGAACAAGACTCAAGGATTCAGAAGTTTTTAACTTTCCTCGGTCCTCCGATGTAGAAAGCATTTTGCTTCGCATCAAGACCACTGTCTTGTTGTCCATCATCACAAGGTTATAACTTAGATATTTGACTAAATACAAAGATTTAGAAACTTTCAATTAATTATTATAGCTTTAGATTACAACAGTAAATGCAAATTTGTATCTGGAAAACTCAACTAAAAGTCTCATTGGAGATAATCCTTTCCCAGGATTCCTCAAGGCTTGTATTAGAGTGTGATGGTATGGTCCTTGAGTCTCACAAAAGCTAAATGTTCTTTTCCCCTGGTGAAAGCCCAATTCCTTACCCAAATAATAAATGGATAAAACTTGCATGAACTTCGCATCCCCCTAATTCTCATGATTATTTATGTATCTATCCCCTACCCTTCTCACCCATTAACTTTTCTCTCTCACACACACATTTACTCAGCGCAATATCACAAAAAAACAGCAAATAGCATGCCCCAAGAGTTTATCTTTCCCCATCGACTCCTTGTCCCCTCTCCTCCTTCCTTAGATCGCTGGTTGTAGCACACAGCTGGCAATGACTATTGCCCCTCTCCTTCAGAAAGAAATCAGTCAGAATCCTCCAGACTTGACCAATTCAGGGACAATTTACATATGATTCTGACCAAGTTCAATGATTCTGCTGGAGTCCAACTCATAACCTGTACCATCTATTGCCCATGCTTGATTGCTACAGGGAGAAGTGCCAAGTTCAAGCATCACAGGCTCCACACTCTTCCCATGTCTAGGAGAATTTGGGAATGCTCCCACCAATGAAGGGTTACCATAGGAATTTCAGCAAGTTCCTATGTTGCCTACATCTGCTGTCCCATTGACAACAGGTCACAAAATTGCTGATGTTTGTGAAGCCTTTCGACTTCTAATGTACTCCATTCTGACCCTATACTAATAATGTCTTGGATGGTGATTGCAAATCTATATGATAAGCCTTGATCAAATATAGCATATGATAGATTGGACGACTAACCATGTAGGAATGCTTTATCTCTCAAGAGGTTTCTAGGGTTTGTTCCCTTGCATACTCTTTACTATTAAATCATTGATCATACAATTACACAAGAACTACAAACTAAGATGTATGCAAACAGAAGGATACCAAAACCCATGGCAAAATCTTAAGAAGTAAAAGACCACTTGGCAAACATGTGAATCTAGAAACCTTTAAGATATGTGTCATCTTATTTACATAGAAGTATGACCAGAAGTTGCAGAAAATCTATCATTGGACAGCACCAGTAAGACATGTTCTCAAATGAAATAAGGAAAATTCCCAGGGTGAAAGAAGAAACATCTATGCACAAAATTTATCCTTGGACTACCAGTATAATGTGATCTGAATAGAAATTAAAACAAGTTCCTGATTCTTGCAGTCAAGGAGAAACACATGTATTGCGTTTGTATCTAAACTGCAAATTCTGATACATCTTTACAGAAAATGGGACAAATGAAGAATGAACAGACAGAATATAGAAGGAGCAAATTATCATAAGAAGATCAAAGGACAAATCTTTTATCGAAAACATGCTCCACTAAAAACAAAATAAATTCCAAGTCATGGGGTCCAAGAAACTAGAAATAAACATGGGGTCCAAGTCAACCAGTATATTATAGCATGCAGTAGTTAGTGGCATAAACATATAACTTGGATAAAAAGCATGATTCTCAGATCAATTGCAATATTAAATGCTCTTTATAAGCATCTCACTATATTTCAAGAAAGCATGGGTTTATATATGGGGGTACACTAACCATATCATACTGGTATAAAGAACATCAACCACACCACCTAGCACCAATATATCAAACAATATTTTATTACTTATTTAATGGTGCAAGGAAACATATCTTAACATACAGATCGGTATGTACCTGTCCAATAACATTCTGGTATGGGTAACGATGCTAATATTTAAAAACTTGCTAGGAAGAATATTAAAATAATCAAATAATTGGTTACGAATGTACAATATGTATTCAATTTTTTCATTATATTTTTTCATTATATGCTAATGGAATGTATGATATTTCATAAGCATTCTTGTTTCAAGGAATTTCCTAGTGATCGGTTGAAACAAGCACATCTAGTTTTGACTGCATTGAGCTGCAACAAGGAGAATGACTAGTTGTCCGACTCCAAATGTTTGTAACACCATATCACCTAACCAAAGCATAAGCCACTCACAAGGTTTTATATTTCATGTTCTTTTTCACTAAAAGGAACATATTTAAAATTTATGTGCAATAGAGATAAAGAAGCATTGAACTCACAGGACGACAGGTACAACGGTCAAAAATTTCCTGTTACGTGTAAGTTGCTTTCCATTTTCCATCTGCTCCCACCAGGTCAAGTTATTGTAGATACCCTGATCTTCAGCAAAGGGAGTGCCCTTTTTCCAATGGAAGAAGTAATATGTAACCTGAAAAACAATCCATCTAGAAATCATATCTTGGACAAACAAAGCACCAAATACATAATTATTACGAGAAACCTAGACATACAGTTGGCCCTAATTCTACAAAAAAAAATGATAACTACCATCAGATATCTTCACTATTGACCAAAATGATAAGCAAGAAATATCAAAGTTGTAATTCAAATATTTTATCTGCTATAACGAAGACTGCAGGCACCAATTCTTCTGGAAGAAGTACTAAATATGTTCAATATACAAAAACCCTACACTTTGTCATCCAAACAATTATGAATTCACGATTGCCATAACCACAAGAAACATGCTTGAAACTCAACCGGTCTTAAAAGCAGTTAACCATGTTCAATCATATGGGTACAAAAAATCAATTGTCAATGAAGCAGAACAATGGTATTCCGACAACGAGGAGGCTATTGACTCATTGAAAGATATTATTGGCTACCAATCATTTCTCCATGTATCAAAATAAAAATTTTGTAACTCGGTAAAAGTTACTCGTCAAGCTGAAAAAGGAGTGCCAATATTTGAAATTCTTATTGCAATATAACTAGTTTTCTACATGAAACCAACAAAACTTGCTATTTCTACTGCGTCACTCAAGCCAGTCTCGATCCTATATACCGAACATAAAATGTTGTAATGCTTCGCAGAGAATGCCGATATAAAATCCGAAACCTATATAAAAAAAACAAATCAACTAGTAAATATTTGAAACGTTAAAAGGAAAACGAAAAACAAAAGAGAAGAAAGAAGGGGAATAAACATCGGACAAGAATCAAGCGAAACGAGGGTAGGAAAGATGAGAACTTTGAGGCGAGGCGACCGACCGCGAAGTGGAAGAGATTGACGAGGGTCCAGGCCATCCCGGGGGTGCAGCCGAAGACGGAGAACACGAGTAGCCAGGACAAGAGGAGGATGAGCACGTAGATGGTCCAGACACCGGGGTACAGGAACCACTCGGTGTTCTTGTTCATATCCATCGGCGGCGCCGTCTGCGCGTAGAGCTTCGCCATCGCGTCGCTCTGCGTTCCTCCCTCCGCCGGGCGCTTCTTCCAGATTCAAGGCCGAGAACGAAGAGCGCCCGATCGAGAAGAGATGGGAGCGAGGGTTAATGCAGGTCGACGAAGAAGTCGGAGGAGGAAGCGAGCGAGAGAAAGGGGGATCGATTTCGGTCAAAGCACGTTGGAATTGGGTTTTTGGTCGGAGAGGCGGACGTCGGATTTGACTCGTTCATCTAGCATCAACCATATATGTATAGCAGGAGGCGATTGCAAGGCCAAGTCGTCGTTCTAATATTAACCCATTGTGTTGGAGGTCATCAAGGTCGCAACACAAATGGAAATGGAATAAGCTCAGAAAACTTGGTCAAGAGAAAGCAAAGCATTCATAAGACAATTCAGGGTATAAAGCCTCAATTGGAGAACTCTAATCATGAAACAAAGTGATTAGGGTTAGGATTGGATAGGGACTTTAGAACCATTTTATTTTCGGTTCTTACAAAATTATATATATATATATATATATATATGGATTTAGTCTCATATTGGTTAAAATATTGAAAAAGTGAAGACTAAAAAACACAGTCGAAGCCCACTAACCAAAGCAAGCATGAACCCATTGGAAAGGTCAAAACCATGCAAAACAAAATGTCATCAGAATCATGAAACAACATCCATTAGGGTTGGGGTCAGTTAGGGACTTCTACCACTGTTTTAGTCCTATATTGATTAAAATATTGAAAATTGAAGACCTAAAAAGATAGTTGAAGCAGACTATCAATCACAAAATTCATTGGTGTATCTATCGGACCTTATAAATCTAAGGTTTTAACTCATTTTCGATACTTGAGATTAAACCAGTGTGTTAGATTTCATCCTTACAGCCATGACTTGATCGGTCAGAGCTGACCTTCACCAACTGATACAATGCAAGAGACACTCAACCCACCAATTAAGTCCCTCACCGAGTTGCATTCTAAGTGAATTCATTGACGACACCCTGAAAGAATTCTATCCCTTCTACTCCCATAAACCACCTTCAAATTTGTTCGACATTACATGTAACAAAATAAGTAGCTCTGTGACAATGAAGCATAAGCTGAGGTAGAACAAGCTAACCTTATGCCGCCATCCGCTTGCTCATCCTTAATTAAGATCTATGACTTTCGCGATTGCATGACATCCCTTACAATGCTGGGAAAAAAAAGTCTCTATCAACAAACTGAAAGTCTTCTGTCAAGAAACTGAATTGAACGCACATAAAAAGAACATCGATTATAAAAACTTTGAAGCATGATAGACACACTATAGACTACAAAGTCTCCAGTTCATAATCTTTCGCACGGTAGAATCAGATAAATGTATCACCTTTAAGAAAAACTTTTTAGCTTCCTTGTGAGATAAAGTTGTTCTACAAAGAATGATATCAGCATTATAGCAGGGAATACAAATTAATATACAAACACTTCCACAGAGGGGACTTTCAATCAAGATTGTGTAACTGTTACCTTCTTCCAAAGCTGTAGATTAAATTGTTGTTTTCATGAACTTCAACTAAAAGAAAGCTTGCGGTTCAGAAATACAGGGAGTAAGAAGTATACAATTCAAAGAATTCCAGTGACATCCATGATATCAAGATACTCAATCCATATTCATTAAAGGTTCAAACATTTATAGCCGATAGATGGATGATAAATATCACAATAAGGCAAGCCCACAAACAGAAAAAATTAGCGAGACTAATTGAAATGCTTCGCAATTAATGCTTTGAAAAGCTATTCAAGGAGTAAGCTTGAACTTTCTTCACAATTGATCCTCTTAACATTGAAATTCCTTTTTTTCTCTCACACAAATTCAAAGTTTCGAGTCAACTGCATAGCAATGACATGACCAAAAATAACAAAAAGCTAAAAAGGAGCACAAGGGTGTCCATGAACAGTAACATCAACTGTGGCTTGGTCATCGCAATTACATTGTCAAGGAAAACCAATGAATGGAGCAGCTAACATATAGGATAATGGCCTAAAACATTTCCTCCAATGCCAACTAAGAGAGTCTATCAAACATAAGAAAAATAGAAACAAGGTTCCAAGATCATGTGCCACATCATGTCACCAAAAATGTGCAGTGCATATGGTCTGGTCTGACAACAAAGTTTACCATGTATTGAACCGTAATATACAATCTTTGGTTTGGTGAATTGTCAGGAACATTGCTTCCTAATTGTGCTATTTGCTTAATTGCTTTGAGGGAAAAGTTGGAGCCTCCCAAGAGGGATTGGAGATGAGAGAAATAAAGTACAGTATATCATGTTGATTTAAATGTATAATTACCCAAAAAGCTAAGTTAGTGGTTCAAAATCTCCTATTTACAGGGTTACTACTGCATAAACACTATCAAACATAAAAAAGGAAACAATGAAAGGGAACAAATTGCCAAAAGCACATCATCATGAGAAGACTGATTGGCCTTTCTGCTTGGCAATGTAACTAAAGGAATTGATGATTCCTTTCTATTAGTCGGAAATTTTGTCGACTGCTACCAGGAGTCAACCGGATGCTGCAGAACTGGTTCTAGATTAGCATTGGACTGGTCCAGAAGGCCTGAGTTGCTGCTGAGGATGGTTTGGGTTGGCTTCTGAACTCACGTGGTTCCCAGGGTGTAGTTGGAAATCAATGCAGATTCTGAGAACTGATTTTAAATACCACGCCACAACAACAGCGACCACATAGATTAAGAATCAAGACCGTGACACAAAACAAAGTAAGTGAAGCACAACATTCTAGATGTCTTGGACTCAAAGACTTCAGATATATTAGTTGATACCCAAACATGAAAACATACAACACATAAAATGGGCATAGAATGACAATGACTTATATTGACCAGAATTAGTTTTCAGCACAGAACACAATGACCCTCGAACCATCATGCAATTGAGTCACAAATATGCATCACCGTAGCACATCAGACAAAGCAAAGTTTTATATAATATGCAGAAACCCATCGGGGTAGATTGTAATCACCATCAAATTTGAAGATAGGAGAGCAGATGTCTTATTGGAGTAGCAATACCATCTGATCGGATGGTAAATATAACATTAATGATATAAAACATCCAGGCATGCCGCTTGTTCAATGGTTCCTCAAGTAGATAGTGCATTAATTACCACCTGCAATCACCTCAATGGTTCCTCTATGATCTGTACTTTTCTGGTTAGATCCATGAGGATCCAGCATCCAGGATCGTATGCACGTTGCAATTCGTCCATAAGGATCTACGTCCATCTTTCAGGATCAAGTACACTTGTTGCATGAGAGGCACCAAAGCCAAAGAAAACCATCATCAAAGATATTGGATGGATCCAAAAGTGGTTGCTAATTCATTTGCCACAGAAAATTTCTAGATCAGAGCACACCTGATGTCAAAAAGCTACCATCCATCACCCTTTTATATATTATCACTTGTGCAAGACAGGATAGAAACCAAGCATTTTTAGATATCCTTTTTATGTCTATCTTTACCAAGATAACACTACCAACTCCATTTGATTTAAAGATTGCATTTGAATGATCTGCCTCTTTTGTCCAACCGACTAATAGGTCATATCATCTAGTGATTCATCGACTAGATATCATTTGGGATGCACTTACATAGCTACACAATATGACCCCATGAATAGTACGTCGTTCATCTATAAGTAGTGTAGAAACAATTTGCGGTAGTGTTTGATTGTTGATAAAGGATAGTATTCCATAATATGTCTTCCGATCAACAGACTTTTTCTTCTTACTCGGCAAAATTCTGATTTCCATAATGTATCCAGAAAATCAAATAAGAAAATACAAATCTAAGATCTCCGATTACTGATCACAAGGAGAATGCATCAGGATCGAAACCCTAGTTAAGTGAGAGAGAGAGAGGATACCTCGCAGTTGGGGAATGGTTGGAGAGCGGAGGAATAGGCGAATGGAATCATCGGAGCCGACGCTGGATCTGAGGAACTTGAGTAGGCTCCGAAGGCTTCTGATCCGGTAAAGGATGGAGAAATCGGCCATGGCGTCGCGGAGGACGGACCGGATGGCCAGCATCACGTCCCGAATGAGCCTCCAACAGTTCAGTGCGGCGACCAGCTCCCCCACCGCCTCCTTTCGGCGGCCACGGCCCTCCGATTCGGTGGTCCGACCCTAGTTGGAGTCTCCAGTTCGGTTTCCCGGTTCGGCTCTTTGCTCTTCTGAATCGGACCGAACCGCTCGTAGAACCGGTCGACTTTGATGAATCCGATTAATTACTCGTGGTTTCAGTGTCAGCAGGAGGAAAAATTATTTAGGATAAATTTTCCAAAAAAAATATTATTGGTAATCCTTCTATTATTTATAATCTTATTTTAATTTTTTTTTAATATTTTAAAATATTACTCTATAAATGGGTGGGCATAAATATTTTCGACTTATCACTTAATTTAGATACTTTTCCAAATCTTTCCCTATCATTTTCGACTTACCGTTTTTTCCAAATATTTTCAGACGAATCGTGGAAATAAAATATGTTGTAAGAAGTAAGGGTAACTGTGAAGTGAGTGTATGATTGATAATTGAGGGACTATATTAATATTATTATATTTTATTTATTTGTTAGATGTTGGATAGTAAAAAAACGATTATCAATATTAATCTTCCAAAAGATTATTATTTTTTAGTTTTTTGTGAGAGGTGTTTTTTTTTTGTTTCAAAAGAATATCCTCTATTTATTATAATCTTGAAATACTTATTGATAAAAGAGAGAGTATAACTATTTATACCTCTTTGATCAATATATAAGATAAATCAATCTAATTCTCTCATGTATTAGACTCACAATTATCAGTGTTTTTAATAGGCTTGTAGTGGTTTTAGTACCTCTATCAAAATATTGTAAGTCGATATCATTTACAATAAGTTTATTATAAAAAAAAAGATAATTTGACTGAAGACTCTATAAACATCAACTCATATGGTTTCAAATAAATATCTTTATCAATTTAGGAATAAGAACAATCAAATATGAAAACATTTCTGAATGATCTTACAATATTTTAAAAAATTATTATTTATTCAAAAATATTATAACTAAGGAGTTAGATCAATCCATCAAAAAGTGATAGTTATTAGAGGTATTTTGAAAAATATATAAAAAAATACTAATTAAGAAATATAAACAATACCTGTTGGAAAAAAAAAAATTAAAAGATGGATATTTTTGGGGGGCAATTAGCCCAACTATTTAAAGGGTATGACTTCTGTCCAAAACATTTTGAAGGGATGTATTGTATGTTATAATTTTCTTAGGATTTTAATAATAGCAAAGTTTCAAGACATTGGTTGAGCAATAAATGAGTCGAGCAAAACATTTGGTTGACTCAGACAAGTGTTTTCGTATCCTCGATCAAGATAGGGTTCAAAGTTCTGAGCTGACTCACCAGCTCTCTACTGGTCAACTCCTGCTGACTGTGCACGAAGGTCCCATCAATCTTGGCAATTTGAACCCTAAATCCCCTACGTCTGCTGGCTTAATGAGAGAGTCAAATCTATTCCGCCATTAGGCTGTCTCCACTTCCGGACCATCACAGTGGATGTCCCCATCACAATGGCTACAGCATACAGCTCACACGCAGCGGACATGCAACGCAAGCCAGTCTTTTGCTCCACTAAGTAGTAAGATGGCAACTAATGAAGCCTCTTGCAGGAAATAATTGTGTCATCCCAAAAGCTCAAAAGTGGGGTGTGAAGCGTAAACAAATGGCGTTGGATAAGCCAGTTGGGTTTTCAGGGTAAGTTGGGTGATATGAGCCATGCTTTCTCTTATGAGTAAAGGTAGACAAACCTAATTTAGATTCTGGAGAGTGCACTTTAGGTGATAAGAGGGTGAGGTGGAAAGACTCCACACAGGTTATGAAGGCTTCCCTCTGTGACCTAATCTCACCTTATGTGGCACCAATGGGAGGAGGCCGTCGTGATGCAACACCGTTCTAGGGTTTAAAGAGCCAGGAATGAATGCTAATGGTTTTGCTTTTAACCAGACTAAACCCACTAAGGACGACCGATGTCTTGGTTCGATTAGCTTTCTCCGGAGGGGTTTATCTGATTTGTGTTAACCTTTTTTTTTGTTTTTGCCTATTGAGCTAAGTTTAGGACAATATCACTAATCAAACTAATGGCCATGTTTGTTGTTCTTCGACAAATTTTCGTTTAGATATTACAAGTTGATCTTTGTGAGCAATTTTCTGCACCTTTAACATGCACGGCAGACATGGTGATCTCATAGACAATCCTGTCTCATGCAACTTGCTTTAGTCATATTCATGCGTATTTATGACACACACAAACACTATAAATAATATTGACTAGGCTGTGGTTAGGTTTTAAGGTTGTGGGGGATGACAGAACTGTGGTTTGTGCTTATTAGTCATTCGGGCCTGTGGAAGCTGGAAAGAAAAAGAATGATCTTATTTTGCCATGCTATGTCATTACCTAACATGTTGACTTCATATTCTCCACAGGACACCGATTCTGATTTGTATTGGATTGCACTCACCAAACTCATCATTCCCCACTTTGGGCTGTCCACAGAAAGTTTGCTACCATTTGTTGGCACGTAATAAGCAACCCAATCCCATTAGAAAGCATATAAACCCTGCATCAGTGCAAGGCTGATCGAGCTACTACATCTCCGGAGTTCGCTATGAGCACAAGAGTTGAAATGGCGAGCGAGAAAGAAGCTTCGAGGGGGTTGGAATGGCAGGTGACAGTTCCTGGTGGCTCATCGGTGAAGCTGGAGAGCGACTCTGTGCCAACCGCAGCCGGATGGAGGATGCATCGTCTCAAGTCAGCATTGACATCGAAGGTGTTCGATTTCGCGAGCACGGTGCGGAAGATCGCCGCCGACGATCCGCGGAAGGTCGTCCACTGCATGAAGGTAGGGCTTGCGCTGGCTCTCGTCTCCGTCTTCTACTACACCCGGCCCTTGTACGATGGAGTTGGTGGCGCTGCTATGTGGGCCGTGATGACAGTGGTGGTCGTATTCGAATTCACAGTAGGTAGGTGCTACAGAAACACTACATGCATGCATGCACGCACGCATTCATACATGCAGTTGACAGTCTTCAAGTGTGTGGTGCACTGTGGAGCTCAGCCTCGAGAAATGGTGTGTCGTTGATGCAGGAGGTAGCCTGTACAAAGGACTGAACAGAGCCACTGCAACCCTGAGCGCTGGATCTGTAGCATTTGGCATTCACTGGCTCGCGATCAAGTCAGGGAGAACCGCAGATCACATAATTCTTGGGGCCTCAGTCTTCCTGCTGTGTAAGAGAACTCACTCCATTCTTGGTCTATTGATCCCCTCCACAACCCCTCACTCACTGGCGTGGTCTCTTCTTCCTCAGCTTCTGCTGCGACGTTCTCCAAGTTCATCCCCACCATCAAAGCCCGGTTCGACTACGGCGTCACCATATTTATCCTCACCTTCAATCTGGTCGCGGTGTCGAGCTATCGCGTAGAGAAGTTGCTAGCGTTGGCTCAGTGGCGATTCTGCACCATAACCATCGGATTCTGCATCTGCCTCACGGTGTGCGTCGTGATCTGCCCCGTTTGGGCCGGCGAGGAGCTCCATCGCCTCGTCATGCGCAACATGGAGAAGCTTGCGGACTCCTTGGAGGGTACGTGTGTGCGTGCGTGCCTGCATGCAAGCGGCTTTAAGTTGCTCAAAGCTAATGACCTTATGCTGTACGGTGACAGAATCGGTAGCCGAGTACTTGGAGGAGGAAGGCGGTGTCGACTGCAACCAGAAGCTCGGTCAAAAATCACAAGGCTATAAGTGTGTTCTCAACTCCAAATCGTCTGAGGACTCGCTGGTAATCGATCACTACGCGTTCAGCCACTCGTTTCTCTTTGTGTTTCTTTCTCTCTACATTCTCACGTTAAATATGTGCCGACAAAGGCTAATTTAGCCAGATGGGAGCCCTCTCATGGTTGCTTTAGCTTTCAACATCCATGGCGACGGTACCTCGAGGTCGGCGCTGCAATGCGGCAATGCGCATACTGCATCGAATCACTCGATAGTTGCATCAATTCGGAGAATCAGGTACATCTTTTTTGGCTCACAAGCTACAAGACACATCGGAAGATTTATGCTGGAAAACTGCATTGCAGCAGCCACCTGATTCTGTGAAGAAGCATCTGGCCAAAGTCTACGCAAAAGTGACAACAGAGTCGTCCAAGGTTCTGAAAGAGCTGGCGAGTTCATTCAGGTCCATGAGGAAGCCATCAAGCATAGATTATTTAGTCGAGGATATGAAGAACACAGCAGACGAGCTCCAGAACGCCCTTGGTTCTCTCCCGCAAGAAGCAACCTCGCTCATCGTGGAAACACTGCCTCTCATCACGGCGGCTTCTCTTCTCATCGAGGTGTCGGTAAGAGTGGAAGGCGTGGTCCACGCCGTCAAGGAGATCACTGCACTGCCTTGTTTCAAGCCCACTAATGGCGAGGAACTCAAGGCCCAAAACAAGGCTCCGTCCACCGTAGCATAGGACTTGCGAGTTAGCAGAACACCTTTTTGCTTGCAGCTGAGTTAATTCTGCGAAGCCCTTTGCTTCCATGTATTCAGATGTCTGCTGTCATATGTTCTAGCAATACGCGCAGACAGACACCATAAAAGTAATGCATGACTAAATCCTTGTAGCTTTGAGTTTGAGCATTGTTGGATGCTCTTTTGGTGTGTGTTACTGTCCACACTGATTCATTACTGCCCTCTCAGCAATTACTACTTTCCTTTTCGACAAATTTGATTGTGACTCTATAGGACAATGATTAAAGGCATAGGTAGAGAAAGCAAAAGATGACTGCAGTTGTTGTGGACTGGTTTATGTTGGAGACTACTGGGCTGGAATCACTCTTTTTACATGCAAAAGGTAAAACCCAATCATTGCAATGTGATCCTGCACGATCATTAGATGAAATAGTTTTGATACAATGAGGCAACCTGTGGTTTACAACTTGCAGTTATTTCACAAAAATTCTCAGACACCATGTTTTCTTCAGACAGAAAAAGATTACTAGGGGAACAAATTTTGATACAGTACCAACTCTTAATTATGCTATAAACTCTGTCGCGTTCTTATCTGCTCTAGCAATCGTTCAGAACTACCAGCATAGAGCTACACAGGGAAGGAAAGCAGAAACTTATTACATACGGATTAGATAGATGAACGGTAACATTCTTAACAAGGTAAATCAGAAAGATCTGAAATGAAAAGCTGGTCAAGTTTAAATGCATACACAACAGATCAGTGATCTAGATTTATTGGCACCAATTTTCCAAATTATCGATTTCCACAAGAAAACAATGACAACCGGATTGTGCTAACGGATGGTCATAAGTGTTGTCGTTTTTCTTCTTCGATAGATGCTACACTCGCCAAAGCATCACAATCCTTTCCTCGAGCTCTTTCCATGGGGCAGCGGCGCCAACCGAGGTTTGCAGTCAAATCCTCTACTGCAACCTTTACAACATCCTTTCTGACCCCTATATCAGTGATGTATCTGCCTGCACAGTACATCCCAGCAGTCACGGTGGCCATCCCCACCGGCCCTGCTGCCAACAGCTTGAAAGGTGTAGAAAACAATGCTGCCAAAGGGACACCGAAGAATGATGATGCCTGCCCGCTCCTACCAATACCTAGTTCTTCGAGAGAGAGAAGGCCTGTCTTGCAGTAAAGAGCAAAGTCCTCGCAATTGTTCTCGAACACATCATAGTTTCCAAACCCATTCTGGAGTAGGTACATTGCTCTGTTGATCACCGTCTCTGGAGGATCAGATTCTGCAGTTGTGCATGTGCCACCTCGGACTTTTGCAAGGAAGACTGAGGGTGGCACTCCATATTCGAAGCAGTAGAGGGAACCATTGCCAAGGAAGCAATCCAAGCAAGAGAGGATGACCCCACTATTGGACTGATGAAATCCACAGTCGGGGAAAGTTGGGCAAACTGATGGAACACCTGAGCTCAAACTAGAAGAGCTGGATGAATTGATACCATCTGATGTGTCTTTTTTGCGTGTAAAATGAACGACTTTGCTTCCTCCAACATAAATGCCTGCACATACTTGCACTTAGAATTGGTCATTAATCCTTAATAATGATTCTACATAAGGAATAGTTGTCACATTAATTTTGGTGATGAAATCCAAAGAGTTATGATCACTAGACAAATTCATGCGCCGATAAGAACACTTAACAGACTTCCAGGGCCTCAATTTGCTTTAGAATAGAGCTAATTCTTGTGCTGATCGAATAAGCGTCGCATTCCAGTGATGTACATAAGTTTTCTCACATGTGGAACAAAAAAACACATGAAAACCTCTAATTTCTCAATCAGATTCTATGAGGACTTCTTCAAAACAAGATTATGTTTGGTTCTACCATCAGTGTTTGCATGTTGGTTTAAATGAGCAAACCACTGTGGATACCAATTAGAACTATAACATGCTGAATATTTTAATGCATAACAGTGAAGAAAATGCGTAAACAGGCTACTACATATGTAGGGTGACACGAGAGAAAATTTATGCTCACGATGAAGATCATCTTCGGAAAAAATGCAATCCTAGAAGCAGGAAGCAGGAGACATAAAATAAAGCAGATCACGTGTGAAAGGTAAAGATTATTCCCCCAGAAAGATAGCCTAACATGCAAACCAGCATTCTGTGATGGTGACTACAGATCTTATCATCTGTAAACAGCTTTATGAACTGCATGATATGGACCTAAGTAGATAACCATGAACCAAAAGGGCCCATTTTAAGGCCTCTAAACAGAGATCAAAGATATAATGAAAGACTAAGAAATGTAGGCAGAAGATAACAAAGCACCGACAAAGAAAGATCTTCCCCGGTTTGTTTCAAGACCATTCTATTATGAAGGAATAATTATCCAAAGACAACGAACAACATGTTGGTGGCAAGGTATAATATTAGAAGGAAAAATGCATAGGATACGAGGGAAGATGGTTTAATATCTTTGCTTTTCATTTCTCCGTCCATTCAACTTGAACGTGGAGTCTCGACTACCCGCAAAAGAGTCAAAACTTACAGTGGCCGAGTAGACAACGGAAACAAGGAAGTAGGTGAGACTTTGAGGTGAAGGAACCTGAAGATGTTCTTTTCCTCCATTCTACTCAAAATTTCCCAATTACACAGGGTAGCTACTTGTATGGGTTTATTATCTGCAGTGTAGAGATTGGAAATTGGAACGAGAAAATTGCTTGCAGGGACAAGCTACGTTTGCCTCCTGGGAGATCTATACCTTTATCATGAAATTGGGAAACCCAATTGGGACGTGTTTCAGATCACAGCTATCGAGGTGACAATTGGGGCAGACATAGAAAATGCCATTGCAATTTTCCTTCTGCGCCCCCAAATGAATGCGCATCAATCAACCGGAACAGAATAAGTGTGATCAAAAGATACATCAAAGTCAAATTCTTGGCCCAGATTGGTCTTTCAAGAGCATGCAGACCACCAACCGGAAGTTATTGTTCTGGAATCCTTGTGAAATTATAACCAAAGATGATTCATTTAAGCCCAACAATACATCGACTTGCAGAAAACAAGACAACCACAATCATCGACGGAAAGGAGGAGAAATCTCTTCATCAAATGCCAAACACGATCAATGGGAAAGAGATGAGAGTCACGATACCATGGTGGGAGTAAGTGTAGGCCGCTCTCCATGAGTAGATGTGGTCTCCTGCCTTGATCTCCGTCCTCTCCACTCGGTTCGACAGCAGACCCATCGCGCTCTCTCTCTCTCTCTCTCTCTCTTTCTCTCTCTGTGGACTTCTTTAGTCTTAAGACCTGAAGTCGCAATCGGAACTCCGAGATCAGCGGCCGTTGAAGCTTGATCAGACGTCCGGTAGTGCGTCGAGGTGTTACATATTATACATAGAATAACGGGATTCCTTAGGGATATGGATTAACGGGGGGAAGTGTGAGGGTATATATGGCTAATAAGATTGCTTAAAAGCTACAATAAAGAAAGGACAAGATTGCAGGAAGAAGCTTCTGAGCAAGTGTAGCAAGATAGGGATTGCCGAGGAAAGGCAGGCTTTGGATTCCAGGCAGCATCTATGTTGCAGAGTTGCCGGGAGAGAAGAAAGCATAACTTTGCCTTTTGGTTGGATCTCCAAGTCTCTAATGACTTGTAAGAGTGATACATGGCACACACTTAAATGTTGGAACAATAGTTTTAAATCAAATCGATGTTTAAAATTCGAGACTTGATTTTAAATCTTGTTAGGATGGGTTTAAATTTGAGCTAAAATAAATGTAAAATAGTTTTTTTCAAATAATATAAACTTACATCGAATCAAGTTGACAAAGTCGAACTGAGTCGAAGACGAGCTCGAATTGCTATCGAAATACTATCTTAAAATACATTTAAAGGAGCCTCGACTTATCGAGACTAAGTCATTATCGATGATAGTGGAGGTGCAAACCGACATGCTAATCAAAAACTTGGAGTCATAATCCTTTTAACGGTTGGATCCGGCCGTTCATCTCCGTTGTATCTGTCGTGCCCAATTGATTGAGGTGGATGGATGGTTGGGATCATCTGGATACAGAGGTGAATTAGAGTTGTGTTTGTTGTCTTTTCTTTTGGCTTCTTCTCAACTGCATTCTGAGACATGTAATGCCAAAACACAAATAATTGCCTCAAGCAATATCTTCTATGTTTGATGCACCAAACCCACCAAACTCAGCAATGTGACCCTACTTACTTCCACAGTTCATTATAAGCTGACAAAGTGCATCGACATATAACAAATCAGCAGAATTGACAACCACAATTCCTGAAGAGAACTAACTCAGTAATTTTCCTTTTTTTTTTAGTCTGTAATCAATGAATTCACCCTAGCATCTGTTGGTAAGATAACCATATATATATATATAT